TTTTGTCCTCTTTTTTTCGCTATTCTAGTTTAAATACAATCTTTCATTTTTTCCAGTGTTTCTGACCCTATTATTAGTTCCCCCCCCAATTTTTATCCCATAAGGGTTTTTGCTTGTTTGTTTCAGTTTGATTAGTAGTATTTTTGTCTTTCCTCTCTACATGGTGAAGGTGGGGTACTGTGTCTGATCCAGCTGGCAAAGAGCTGTTGATCTTAAGGGAATCACCCAACCCAGCACCCCCAGAGGTTGGGGGTCTTTAAGGTTGGGTCATAGTACCCTACTACACACCTATATTACTCCCATTTCTTTCTTTAGGTGCTTTTCTTCTTTTTGTCAATATTTCCTTTTACTCACCCCCCTCTTCTTTCACTTTTTTCTTTCTTTTTAAAATCTTTTTTCCCTTATTGCTGTTCACTTTTCTCATCCTTCTGGTCCTGTACCAAAAGGACTTATTAAAACTTTAGGCCAGAGGTACAGTAACTTAAAGAGCAAGAAGAAGTGAAAGGGAAATTAGGGCAAGGGAACAGGTACAAGAACGCGCTCATGAAGAAGAAGCAGCAGAAAAATCCTGGCAACATGAAATACCAGTCCAGAGTAACCCTTCTAGGGATCATGAGGTAGGTATAGCAGGGGATTCCTCCTATAAAGAAATGTTAGAAATGACAGAAGTGGAATTTAAAATACAGATGATGAAAACAATGAAGGAAATTGATGAGAAAGTGGAAAATAACCAAAAGGAAACCCAAAAACAGAACTAAATAAGAGATGAATGATACGAAGAACATAGGCAGGATATAGCAGAGCTGAAGGAACTGAAGCAGTCAATTAGGGAACTTAAAGATGCAATAGAAAGTATCAACAACAAATTAGACCATGCAGAAGAAAAAATCTCAGAGGTAGAGGATAAAGCTCTTGAGATAACTCAGATAGTAAAGAGACAGAAAAGAAGAGAGAGAAAGCAGAATGTTCACTGATAGAATTATGGGACTCTGTGAAGCATTCAAACATATGAGTTATAGGTATCCCAGAAAGGAAAGAATAATGCTCCAGTGGAATGGAAGACATTCTAGAAAATATTATAGATGAAAATTTCCCAAATATCACCAGAGTTGCTCACATACTCCTTTCAGAGGGATATCGGTCCTCTGGTCGCCTCAACTCAAATAGAGTTTCTCCAAACACATTGTGATGAATCTAAAGTCAAGACAAAAGAAAAGATTTTGCAAGCTGCCAGGGGTAAGTGCCAATTGACTTACAGGCGCAAATCTATCAGGGTGACCGTGGACTTTTCTAATGAAACTTTTCAAGCCAGAAGACAATTGTCATCTATCTTTAATCTACTTAAACAGAACAATTTCCAGCCCAGAATGCTATAGTCCACTAAGCTAAGCTTTAAAATTGACAGAGAAATCAAATCTTTTATTGATATGCAAACATTGAGGAAATTTGCCACAACAAGACCAGCCTTACAGGAAATATTTCAACCTGTTTTACACAGTGACCATCACAATGGACCTTCAGCAAAGTAAACACCCAGAAATTAAAGGGCAGAACCTAGTTTCCACAATGATGCAAAAGACAAAACTAAGCAATAGACATTCACAAAATAAGATGAATAGAATGCCACCACACTTATCAATTACCTCAATAAATGTCAATGGCTTGAATTCCCCACTGAGGAGGCGTAGATCGACTGATTGGATTAAAAAAGACAGCCATATATTTGCTGTCTGCAGGAAACACACCTCACATCAAAAGACAAACTAAAACTCAGAGTTAAGGGTTAGAAGTCAATTTTTCAGGCAAACAGAATTCAGAAGAAAAGAGGAGTTGTGATCTTATTTTCAGATACATGTGGATTTAAAGCAACTAAAGAAAAAAAGACAATGATGGTCGCTTCATATTGGTCAGGGGAAAAATACAACAAGAAGACATTTCAATTCTAAATATTTATGCACCTAATTTAAATGCTCCCAGATTCTTTAAACAGACCTTGCTTAGTCTGAGCAATGTGATATCCTATAACACCATAATAACAGGGGACTTCAACACCCCTTTCTCAGAGCTGGACAGATCCTCTAAACAGAAATTAAACAAAGATACTAGATATTTAAATGAGACCATGGAACAACTGTGCTTGGTAGATGTATATAGAACACTCCATCCCAAAGATAAAAAATATACATTTACACTGCTGGTGGGAATGTAAACTAATATGTTCCTTTTGGAAAGACATCTGGAGAACACT